TTCAAGATAGGGGTGGAATAAACCGTCAGGACTTGTGTGGGCTCTGAGATTTTTTACCCGCTTTCAAGCCAACAAACCAGTGGTTACTGTTTACTGTTATTTCCCTGACAGAAGACATGAGACTCCCAGTTTAGAGACAAGAAATACTTCATTACTTATGGCAAAAGCAGTAGCTAGAGCTTTGTGTTGGGTTGTGTCAATTCCCCATGCTCCTCAAGTCTCAGGAGGTGATGGACAGGACTCACCATGGTGCCTGCACAGGTGGTGGGCTACCTTACAAGAGAAGGACACTGAGCTGAGGGGATCTGCTCCCCAAGCCAGTGCTTCGTCTAGGGGAGATGTTACCTCCTTCCTCAAGGTGGCGTGTTGCAAGCACAACCCTGGGAAATGAGCCAGGTGAAGAGAAGGGAAGGTGTACCCCAGTTCTTGGCATATCCAGCAGGAACTTGCAGGCATGCTTGGGGCCCACGGCAGACTGCCTCTCCCAATGCAGATCTGCATTAAATATCAGGGAGCAGTCCACCACCAGGGTCTAACACCGCGAGGCAATAAAGAAAAAATGGCGCAGGTGGCCCTGGGAGTTCAAAGGAAGAAAAATTCCTTGGGATGTCAGCTGGGCGAGAAGACGACATGGGAGTAAATGAGATTCATCCTGGGCCTTGAAAATTGAGTCACATCTGGACCTGAGAGGCGAAGGTGCGTAAGACATAACGTGGCTCGGAGAAGCCTTTTCAATACTCCACCACGCACGGTGCATTAGAAGAAGCAGAGAGAGTGGTTGGGAAGCTGGGTGAGTTGTCCAGATGTGTGTGTGTTCATGAAGACTTGAGCTGCACTGTTTCCAGATGTGGAAAGGGAGGGACAGAAACACAGAGAATGCTTCAGTTCAGGCTGGTGCTGCAAGACCACATGTCCAGAATTTGGAGTTACTCATACATTTGCTTCAGGCTCAGAGCAGAATGGTCTACTTATGCGTGTACGTTGCGTAAGAGGTTTTAACTCTGGACATCACAGAGCTTCCCTCCTTGAACATGGCAGGGGCCATAGTCTCCGGCATCTTACTCCAGGTGGAAACCTACCTCTTCTAACTTCCTGTTTTTCCACATTTAAGTCCTGTTGCTGCCATGAGAGACCCACAAAGATAGTGATCATTGTGTTTTGTAATTGGAAAGCTTCAGTCAGATAATTCCAATACAGCCCACCCCATCCCTTGTAATTATAACACACAATTACTGCTGGCCATTGGTCCCATCAGTTATTCTTTTTTAACTGATTTCTTTTGTTTTAAATAAATTTTATTGGGGAACAGCCATGGTCATTGGTTACACACTGCTTTCATGCTACAATGGCACAGTTGACTCTTTTAGGGAAGGCGCAGCTCACAGTGGCCCATGCGGGGATCGAACCAGCAACCTTGGTGTGATCAGGACCAGGCTCTAACCAACCAAGCTAACTGGTCAACCCCCATCAGTTATTTTTTTATACTATGAGCCTTTCCTTATTTCCCACTATTATACCTTGGCTGATAATGTTCTGCTATGAGATCTTTTTTATTTAAAAAAATATGTAAAAAAAACCTGGTGAATAAACTAATAGGAGACCATTTGTCCCCTGGACAACAATATTTCCTGCAACCAAAGGAATCAAAATCCTGAATTTTTAATGTTTGTTAATGTGTCATTTCTCATGGCTGTCCCCTTTCTCTGGTCATCGTGTTATTAATATTCAGACTTTATTTCGGCTGGAGAGAATTTTAAAATAATCCTTCATTTGTAGGTATACGTAAGTAAAATCATTTTCCCCTCTTGTTTTTGTTTTATGCATGATTTCTGTAGTTTTCTCAGTATAAGTATGCACAATGGCTAGCAGTAAAACTCGGTATCCACAGTGAAAGACCTGCCTTGTTGTCCCACTTGTCACTTTGATGGACCCTGTGAAGAGACTTTATAGAATGTGGATTTCAGGGCTGGCAGAGGAGTTGCTGATAAAGCCGTTGAGGGGGGGGAGTAAAAGGCATTTTTTTATACCAGAAAGAGAATTCCGAAGAAACACATGAACACAATTCCAGGTAGTGTGCTGTTATCTAGAAAAAAGCCAAGCGTTTAAATAGCTGGAAGAAGAAAAAAGTATTTTTGGCACGTGCTGGCAATAAAAATACTCCAAGAGACAGACCTGAGACTTAAAGCAGTGTTAGCCTCATTGTGCCTATTCAGACAAAAGGCTATGGTTTGGGTTTCTTTTTTGTGAGTAGTTTTATTTGGCTGCAAATGAGAGTATGTGCAAAATTCATGTATTCTCAGAAGGGCGTTCACTTCAATGTCCGTGGAATATGTGGTCAATAAGACTGAAATTTCTAGACTGAGGACAGAGTAAAGGTAGTTTTTATATTTTTAATGATGATACATTGAGAGATGTCACTATTTTAGTTGTGATTCTGAATTGCCCCCTAAAGATTCAAATATATAATTAAGATTTCTACATACTGTCTCCGGTGACTTCCTGGTGTATGTTTAAGGTGAGAATGGTAATTTCATACAAGGATGCCCCCTTCTCTAGGGAGCCTGGAGGACCCAAATCCCTGAAGTCTGGTGGGTCTGGAGACGGAAATGAGTGAAGCCAGGGCCACCGGGTACACCAAAGGCATCCCCAAGGAGAAGGCATGTCTTGACTCTACAGGGACAGCTCCTGATGTGCACCCCCAGTCCTGACTTCCTTGAGCTCCAGACCCACATTTCCAACCGATCAGTGGACTTTCTGTGGGACAGGCCCCAGCAACTCAGCCTGTACGTGTCCCAGACCACAAGGGTCATCCCTCTTTTAAGGCTGCTGCTCTTCCACAGCCCCTGGCACAGCTGTGGCACCTCACGCTCCCAGTCCCCGTGTGTGCCTTGGAACCATCTCCCAGCAGTTCTCCTGCATCCCAGCCCACCATGGTCAGGAGCCGCCCCCTGTTGGTTTCAGCCTCCAAGTGCTTTCAGACTCACAGTCCCCATACTTCTTTCCTGCTCTGGTTTAAGCACGCTGCAGCAGCAGTGTCCAACTGGTCAACCCCGTTTCCAGCCTGTCACTTCAGTAGGTGTTTACTGAGCACTGACTCCATCCCGTTTCCTGTGCTGGAAGATTTAGAATCATGTTATGTCCTTCAGTGAAATCTTATTAATACACAAATATAAAAAGGCGCTGGAAAAGGCATCTTCCTCAATCCTTTGTGAAAACAGGTTGCGTTCTGTCTTTCCCAACATCGCACATCTTCAGAGGTACCCCACCACCTACAAAATAAAATCTAGGCTTCATAGCCCCTCTCCAACTCCTTCTGTGCTGCTGTTCCTACAATGGGCACCCATTCTGCTCCATCTTTAGTGGCTGCGGGAGCACGGAGGACACGTGAGACGGCCATAGTCCCCTTGTACAGGACACTCAAGGCGATTGTCTGAGCCCTGCCACAGCCACTTAGAAAACTGAAACCAAAAAGCCACCAAGAGCTTCTGTCCAAGATAGAGTTACAGAGACTAGGGTTCACCTAGATTCAACACCCCCAAATGAACCCCCCCCAAAAAAACCAGACAAAATATAAAGACAGTGACCATCAGGCAACAACAGACAGTGATCCCTGAAATATGGTGAACAAATGAGGTGAGCCGTGTAATGGCCCCAGCTTACTGCCTTGACAGAGGGTCCAGGTCACAGCGCAGGGAAGGGGGACTAAGGAGAATCCCTAAAGACTCCCTGAGTTTGGAGACAGAGCTGAGAATCCAAGGGAGCCCAAGGCCTGGAGACCAGAGTTCTCAGGAGAGGTCTGTACCAAGAGAGGACCCTTGGAGCATTCACCTGAATACTGATTAGCCCATGCACATGAAGAAACTACTTGGGTTTTGTAAAAGAACTACCCAAAACGTTAGAGATAACAGTGTCTGGTGCTCACACGGATCTGGGCATATTGCCTGTTCACACATTGTTTAGAGTACTCAGAACACTTTTACCTCTAGGAGAATAATTCCCCCTAGACTGAGCCCTGCTTCAGTTCCACCTAACATATCTTGAAAGCAAGACTTAGTTCTCCGTCTTCACACTGGCTCTGGGCTGTATAACCTTAGGAATGTGTTTCTGTTATATCAACTTTGTCTTCTGTGATATTATCATGATCACATGTCTTTGGGCTATTGTACAAAGTGACCTTGAGAACAAATGATCAGGTCCTGAGGAATGGGATTGGACCAGGACTTCTATAGTCATATGTGACTTACAGGAGATTGGGGAATTTCCATGCTATATAGTTTTGCAAGATGCTAGCACTGGGGGGAAAAGGAGTTAAGGGTACACAGGATCTCTCTATATTATTTTTTATAACTGCATGTCGATCTGCAATTATCTGAAGATAAAAAGTGTAATTTAAAAACTTGGTATTTTATTACATTTTTGCCAAAATTTTAGTTGTATTTTGTGATTGATAAAGATTGCCCACCTCATTAAATGCTGGCCGTTTCAAAATTTCCTTAGACAGTGACTACCTAATAATTACCAAAACTATAAAATACGTCATTTGGTATCTAAGAATAACTTAACCAGCAGTGCAGAAAAATAAACAAATGTGTCTGTATTAAAGGCTAGTTTTTGTTTTGTTTTGTTTTTGTTTTTTTCACTTCCTGGATTACTGGGTTTTTTTATAAAAGGATATAACTCAGGAACAGCAAGATGAGACAGTTGTGGAGAGCAAGGTGTGGGGAGGCACAGACTTCCGTGCTCTCCAGGCACATTGTTCTCCCCAATGCCCTCATGTTCACTCACCCGGAAGCTCTCTGAACCCAGGTTTTGGGCGTTTTATGAAGGCTTCAATACATAGACACATAAAGGTCAAATTTGATGATGAAAAAAAAAAATCACAAAACCTCCATAAAGAGGATGCAGTTGGTCACAGTGATTCTGACCCTGACAGAAATGCTGAGGCCTCGCCATCTGGGTTCCAGGGTGAGGCTGACGTTCTCCTCCGTATTTTCTCACAGGATCTGCTCTTCAGTGTGTGTGCCCTCAACGTCCTCTCCACCATCGTGTGTGCGTTGGCCACCGCCATGTGCTGCATGCAGATGGTCTCTTCTGACGTCCTGCAGATGGTGAGTGGCCCACTTCCTCCCAGAGCACAGACAACATGGTGGACCTGAGCCCTTCCTCCTGTGAAACCAATGAGAATGGACACTTCCGGTTCTAACCAGATAGTCCTTAAGGGGGCCTGGAGACCCTTGGAGGTCCTTTCATGCTGCCCTCTGGAAGACAGAGAGTTGGCACATTTGGTGCCATTGATGCATTTACCTTAGGTGTTATTGGAGCTCCTGCCACCTTGGTGTGTGCCCCGGAGTCATTTTAGTCCTGTTATGCTAGACGTCCTCTGGCCCCGGCACCTCCAGAGCAAGGCTCCTTCCTCAGGCTTCACAATGCTCTTTTAATGCAGGGAGGTTGTTTAGGAGAAGAACTCTTCTCAAAGTGAAAAACTGCTAATCTCTGCTTTTTAGGTTTGCTAATTAACGCTGAGCTCATTACCCAGTGGCAGCTTGCTGGCTGGCCAGCATTTGACCCTCTGGCCAGGGTCTCTCCAAGGAAGAATTACTGTTCCCGAGGCCCGGAGCAGGGAGTCACACACTTCTTAATACGTGTTCATAAGTGCGTGCTTAATAACTAAGGAAGGCTCCTCGTTACTTCACCATGACCGGGACACAGCCCACTGTTCAGTATGTTACCACTACAGGCAGTATAAGAAAGAGAACTTGACAGGGAGATGTTCTTTGATGCTGCAGGTAGAAATCCCTCCTCTCTCTCTCTCTCTCTCTCTCTCTCTCTTTACTTGCCCTTTCGAGACCTCCCCTGCCTCCTCGCCAATGTTTTCTGTGTCTCATGAAAGAAAAAGTAAGTTATTCTTTAGTCGTCTGTTTTATTTGCTCTTTCTCATCTATCCGCTAGCGACACGTCAGTGAATCACGATACAGGGCCAGGGAGCATCGTTACCAAGACATTAAAAATTCATCGGTGCTAATCGTATGCAGCGTGCAGCCTCTTTCTCACAGTGCACATCCACACAGCTGTCACAGCAGGCTGGCCTTTCAAAGGTTACCATTTTCCAAAAGGTAGCTAATTAAGCAGTTATTCAGCGGTGATGACCTTGCGGCCTTGCTCACTGGGGCCTCATGTTGGTGAGTCTCTCCAGTGTGTTACGTAAAGGAAAGGTTAAGTACCACAGGGTTCTCCTCAGCTTGGCACATTTCCCTATTAATCTGTAAATATCACACCAGTTGGACCAAACTAGCAGCACCAAAGGGTTGGGAATGCTCACAGTGTGCGTTCCCTGATGTCAAACGTGAAAATGGAAATCACTAGCTAAATAAGAGTAAAGTCTACCATTGCTATAAAAACACGTACAGTGGTACCATGGTGTGCAGGGTCACTCTACCTTCTACCGGGATGGTGAGCAGGCCTGGACTCCTGGGTCTGAGTCAGAGTCCTGCCTGGCCTATGACACAAGTGACCCGGACATGTCACCGAAGCTCCGTGAGCCTCAGTGTGCTCACCTAGGAAATGGACCTCATGGGAAACCTGGCGAGTGCTCAGTAAGGGGACCTGTGTTGACTTAAATGTGGAGGGAATATCAGTTTATTACTGGGGCACTGCAGCAATGGTCCACGATATCCTTCGTCGGCTGTCAAGCTCTATACCAGCGGTTCTCAACCTGTGGGTCGTGACCCCTTTGGGGGTCGAACGACCCTTTCACAGGGGTCGCCGGGTACTCGTATGTGGGCATATCTGCATGTGGGCCTGGAGACAGATAGAGGAGCAGTGTCTTGGTTCCTAAGACCATCGAAAATATGTGTTTTCCGATGGTCTTAGGCGACCCCTGTGAAAGGTTGAGAACCGCTGCTCTATACGAAAGGGCAGTGTTGTCACAGCCGTGGCCCTCAGAACCCTGGCTGTTTCGTCGCTAAGTACTTTGCTTGCTTCTAACCTGTGGCTCGGAAGTAGAAATAACTGCGATTCCTGCTGCAAGTCCTTCTCCCATTGTGACCACGGGTTGGGGAACAGGCAAAGCTCTGCTGTCCTTCTAAGGCCCTGGCTGTGCTGCTGACCTTCAGAGCCAAAGGGCAGGCAGGAGGGAACTGGTGTGAATGACCTTGGCCCATCGTGGGACCAGCGCAGGGCTTTCAGCACATCGCTGTGCTCTACAAAGACTGTGGCCTGCTGTCCTCCCAGGGCCTCTGAGATGATGGCTCTCAGAATGGGCTTTGGAAATGCATAGTGGCCACGTGGACATCAGCACTGACTGCAGGGTCAGAGGCTGGGTCGGGCTGACCACACAGGCTGCATCCTTGGTTATGTCCTGGTGGAACCCAGACCTGAGTTTTCATGGGGATGCCTGCAGAGCTCTCTTTTTAATTAAAACTTCTTTTTTTCCTTTTCCCCCCAACTTTATTGAGCTTAATTGACTTTAGTTTTCTTCCTTCACTTCATTAGACTCTTTAATTAAAGAAGTAATATATGATCACTGAAACAAGTAAAATACAGAGATGCAAAGAAAATGTTAATGGCCTGCCTTCTCCTACCCCATTCTCCTGAGGACACTTTGTTGGGAGTAGTTGCATTTCTTGGTTTCTTGGTGCTTCTATTAACGTATGTAAATAGCCTACCTTCCTTTTTTCCTTCCTCCCTCCTTCCTCCATATCTCCCTCTTTCCTTCCTTCTCTCCCTTCATTTATTCCTTTTTTTTTTGCCAAAATGGCATCACACCATTCACATTACTCTTCATTTTATTTTCCAAAACTCTCAGGGACATGCCCCTAGGTCGCTACACAGAGCGATGTCTAATCTGCATTGCTCTGTGACACAGATGCAACGGATCGTTTGGCCATTTCTCTGTTTGTGGATGCATGAGTTGTCCTCCTTTTGAGTTTTGATGTTGTCTCTGCCTCTGCACTGGTGCTAAAGTAAGCTCCTTGTGCATACGGGTCCAGCTCTCCTAACCAATCTGGGCTGAACCCATGGGCCAGATAGCTGTGATCTTCCGTCCCGCCTGTGACACTCGCTGCCTGCTGCCCTCTTGCAGCCTCTGCATTTCACCATTTCAGCTCCCAGCGGTCAAGTTCCAAGGGACATTGTGTCTGTCCCCCAACTGGTTTATGCCAGTGGTGTTTGGATTGTAAGTGCTTCTTCTAGTACTGTACAAACCAGTGAAATATGAGTGCAGAAAGATCAATATTTCTGTTACAACAAAATCCAGTGCTTTGGAAGGGTTCCGTGGAAGAGGGTCACTAAACATATTGCTGTCCATTTAGATGTGGGCGAGATACCTGTGAGGAGCTGGGATTCAAAACTGGAAAGCTTTTAGGGGGTGTCTGAACAGACACTGCTTCACAAGGACCATTCAAGGTCTAGCTCGACTCTGAAAGCAGAAGTGGGAAGTTAGATCATGTCTTCAGTATTGTTTATGCAAGAGACCACGGGGCACGCCAGACAGCTGACTGTGACTCAGCGAAGGCCTCCAGGCCTGGCATGGAAAGAACCCATAATTCCTATCTTATTTCTATTGATCAGCATTTTGCGATAATTAACGGGTTTTGGAAGCCATCATGAATGCAACGTGTTATGCCCGCTGTCAGAATTTATAAAGCCGACTTAATCTAATGTGTTTGGAAATAGTGGCAAAAGGCAACCTGATGATAAAATTCGGGTTATTGGTATAGTTTAGCAGAGAAAGCTTTTACCTCTGAAGTGTCTGTAATCCTTTATCTCTGGTTTTATTTCTTAAGTGTAATCTCATTTGTCCATTAAACCATTTTTCTCCCCACTTACTTTGTTGTCAGCCACTTTAGCCTCAGGGAGATTGTCTGCGATAGCATGCATCTCCATTAGGCCCTGGCTTGTTAACTTCATCTTTTATGACTGTCATGCCTGTCCTCAACTCTAGTTGTATGCCTTATAAAGTAGAACTCCTTCAAAAAGGGCGAATAGGGCTCTATGCCTTTCACCAATGTGGTAACTGTGGGCTTGCCCATGGAGCTAGTAAGGGGTGCTAGCCGGTCAGGGAGGGAGGTTACCCTAACCCTTGGAAGACCCAGCCTCAGTCAAATTCACCAGTCTCTCCACCTCTCCATTCCCCACTGAGGCCAGCTCTCCTTGGACCCACGGTGACCTTCCTTGAGGTCTGGGTTCAACAGAAATGTCTCTGGGTGGTAGCTGCTGCGTATTTATCAAACTAGAACCAATGGATGTCTGATGAATCTAAAAAGCTAGTTACCGCAGACAATTATAAAAAGGATGTACACACACCGTGAACATTTTATTTTGACTTTAAATATGCAAATGAGCATTTGTCCACCAGTCGTTTGATTTGGGGCCGTGACCTTCTCTTTGATGGTGGGTCTGTTTGGTGTACCGCACTGCATTTCTTGCATAAACTTCATGGAAATGGCACCATCTGGAGTGAGACACATGAAGGAATCTGAGCTCAGAACTCCCCTTGGTGTTTTATGATTCTTCTCCACTCCATGACAGCCTTCTTGCCAAGACCTAACTTGGCAGCAGTTTCTGCTTAGCTACTCTCTTTTATAGAGTCTTTCCAGAACATTCCACTTGGTTCTCATAAAACAAGCAAGTTTTCCTGTCTGTGTCCCTATTTCATTGTGATTTATAGTAGTAACTAAAACTGGCCTTAGCCTGTTTAGGGATGCACCCCTGCCGCCCTGGGCGGGCATAGAGCTCGCGGGGGAACGTGTGTGTGGCGGGGGGCAGGATGAGCAGCAGGGTGTCCGGGGCAGGCACCATGCCAGGGTCTGGAGTGCAGACGGAGGGCTCCAGCTCATCGGGCAGGCTGGCCACGAGAGTCAATTAGGAAAACCTCGGTGGTAATAGCCCTGCGAATTCCTACCCAGTCTCAGGAGGGCTGGAGGAAGACAGTTTTCCCCTGTATTTCTTAGCCCTTATGGAAAATCTCGAAGGTGTGTGTGACCCGTTCAGCACCGAAATGTGACAGGAACGCTGGGAGAGTTGGTGCTGAGCCCCCGGTGAACCAGAGCGGGCAGCCGCGGGTCGGGGGCTTGGGATAAGGTGTACACAGGGGCAAGAAAGGGGTGTCCTGGGAGCTGCAGCCCCTGTCTCCAGAGCCCTCTGTGCCCCGCGGCAGGACATGCAGGCGTGAGAAGTGGAAGAGCTAACACGACGCGGCTCTTCGGGCCCCACCACACGGCCATTTGGCTCTGTGACTGAGAAGTGGTGTCCCTCAGCGTGACCCTGGCAGGCCCGGGTGGGGTCAGGGAATGGGGACCGAGACTCAGAGGGCTCAGTAATGTGCCCACAGTCGTGTGCACCCCCAGTGGTCAGGCAGAACCTTGAGACCGGGCCGAGGCCCAATGACCTCTTCACGCTCCTTCTCAGACCCCAGACTCTGGACTCTTCAGCCGGAACCAAGTTTCAGGGGCTCTTTGCAGCGGGCCTTGGAAGCTGGCCAGCAGCCCCGGTTCTCATAAGCCCCGCCCCCTGGTTCCACAGGTGCCTGGGAGGACAGCGCACACCTAAGCTGGGAGCTCCCCTCTCCAGAGCGGGCACCCTGAGAAGGGGCTTTTCTCCAGCAGGGTCTGAACCCCATGCTCCTGTTGTGGAGGACACAGCGGGGCATCAGGTGTGTGACCACCGCTCACCGGGCACAGCTGTGCCGCTGTCGCCACACCCACCAAATGAGGCTGTCACAGATGCCCCGGGGCAAGCAGAATCACCTGGGAAACAAGCAACAATTCAGAGCCTGTTTTCCAGCCATCAGACCCAAGTGCCAGCTCAGCCTTCCGCCTGGATAAATGTGTAGATGTGAGGCTGGGCACATGCGGCGTGGCGGGTCCTGAAGGATGGCTGGGAGGCTGCCAGGAGAGAGGGAGGCGGGCATCCGGGAAGAGGGAGCAACCTGTGTTTGGTACTTGAGGTTGGTTCAAAGAGCAGGGTGTGGGCAGGTAGTATTTCCGCACTGGATGGTTAGTGGGTAAGGAGGCTGGGAAATAAATGGGATTCAGGGAACAGAGTGTTCAATGGAGTGGCCTCATCAGACTGGTTTACAAATCGCTCTGCTAGCAGAACAGAGACTTTCATCAAGAGGAAGAAGACGGAGGCAGAGTCACGTTAGATGCCCCGCCAAGGAGGAAATGAACAGGGAGGTTCAAATACTGAGCGAGTGTCTACTGAGCACATGCTGTGCCCACAGCGCCAGGCTGGGCCCAGGAGATACAGAGATGGAGCCCAGATATCCAGTCAAGGCCCAAGCAAGGATAGAGCTCACCCTTGGGATTTCAACACAGTTAATATGGGAGCTGGTTCTCCAGGTGTGGAAGGTCCCCCGGTGTGGCTCTGAGGTCACACAGAGCTGAACAACTGGGGAAGCACCTACCACCCCTTAGAGGAAAGGTGGGGAAGGAGCAGGTGACAGCAACTCCCTTCTGGGAGCCACCTGCCTACCAGACTTCCTCTAGCACCCCCTGCTGGCAGAACCTAACGGGAAGCCAGCTGCAAGGGCCTCTTGGAAATGTGGTTTGCAGGCTTCCAGCCCCATCTCAGAGTACAGGGCAGAGCTGATGACCTTCCAGACAGACCCTGCCTCATGAAATAGAGCCTGATTTTTTTGGTTTTGTTTTTTGGTGGGGGTGGGGGGCGTCTGGTATAACTCACAGGCTTCCCTCTGCACAGGTTGAGGAGCCAGGGTAAAAGGCTCAGTTTGAAACGAACTGAGTCTGTGGTGCTTTCGGGAAGATGGGGCCACCACACTGCTGGAAAGGCGACCTGGAGTTTAGAGCAGAGGCAGAGCCTGTTGCTTACACTTAACCTTTGAAAAGCCCCGGTGTGTGGCTGCACTAGCTAAACCCACCAACAGAAGCTCCTGGAGCCCCTCACCTCTCGTGGAAATGCTCGTTCTCATTCCTGGTGGGATCGTACCTTTCACAGGAAAGCATTTTCGCTTTTGCAGTTCATGCTTGAGTATGTCATTGATTTTTCTAATTTCAGATAGAGAGTCATCCAAAATATTTCCCTGTTAGACCTCAAGGTCATCTGGCCTCATCCTAGCTGCTCAGCTGTGCGCAGTAAGCGCTGGGGCTAACAGCTTCCTAGATAGAGGATGACGGGCACACATTCGGCATGCTTATAGCCGCCGAGTCACCTCTATTTCAGACAAACAAACAAAGCCTCGGGTCAGACCAGCTGGAGAGGCACGGAACGTGCTCCGTGGTGAAGACCCGCAGGAGCCATTTTTAGCCTGATGTGTTACGTGTTTAAACATGGCCGCCATTCTTCCTCCATTAGCCTAGAGCAGCGGTTCTCAGCCTGTGGGTCGCGACCCCGTTGGGGGTCGAACGACCCTTTCACAGGGGTCGCCTAAGACCATCGAAAAACAAAAAGATATTTACATTACAATTCATAACAGTAGCAAAATTACAGTTATAGAGTAGCAATGAAAATAATTTTATGGTTGGGGGTCACCACAACATGAGGAACTGTATTAAGGGGTTCTGCATTAGGAAGGTTGAGAACCGCTGGCCTAGAGTGTGTCAATGTCATATAGTAATAATCCTCTTGGACCATATTCACAATCATGACCTCATCCACACTTGTGCATAAATGTTCTACCACCCCAGCCTCTTATCAGCTCCAGACCACCATACCCACTTGCAGCAGGAAGGCACTCCCCAGCTCCAGCACCCTTGCTGGTTTCCCAGTGCCCTCAGAATTAGGAATTCACTTACAGAGCCTTATCTAAATTTGCTGTTCTTAAAACACATCTTTCACTAGCTCACTCGTTCTTCTTGAGCCTGAAATGCATCCCTGCAAGCCCAGCCGTTGAAATCCTGCCAATCTTTCAGGCCCCTTCAGATGTTGGTGTCTTCATTAGCCCTTTATAGACCCCGGGTTCCTGCACAGTGCTCGCAGAGTTCATTGTTTCCTAACGGATGTATGCTTGCTTGGCCATATACTGCTGACTCAGTGTCCTTGTCTCACCCTTCCCTCACCCGCTTTGTGCCCCACTCCGTGCAGTGGGAAGTCCCAGGCAGCACTGGGTCTTTTCACACCTGTCGGCTCTCTGTGAGGTGTTGATTGGAACTAGAACAACATCTCAGGCTTCACGTCACAGGTCCCCTCTGGGGAGCAGTGACCAGAGGGGAAGAGAAGTAGTAATCTATCGGTGCTTTCGATGGACAGACATGGAAAACTAGGCCGAGACAGCGTTCATTTTGTTCAAGGGATTTTACCTCAAGCTGCTCAAGCAGCATCTCAGTTGTAAGGTTGCCCCCACGGAATGTTCTGGAGCCCTTGTAGGATTCTCTTCCCTCAGAGCAGTGTTGTGTAAAGTGTGTAAATTCCCTAGAACTGCAAAATATGCATCCAAAGGGGCCCAGGATGAGATATTTGAAAAACGTTTCGGTGTAACAGGGGTTAACAGTTTAACAGATTTTTCGGTGCAGACCTTCTCAGGGCCTTTAACACACGCATGCACATAACTGGGCTCCCAGAAGGGAGCACAATAGGTAGCATTTCCCAGACCTCTTTCCCTGCAGGAATGTGGGGAGGAGCATGTGAAGGTCTGGTGTTTTCTCATGAACGCACTTCAGGAA